GACATCTTCTTGATGCACTCTTCTTCATTCAGGTTTATCGTGGCCTTAAATCCTGCTCCTCCCTTCTGGATAATGCTAGTCTTCGTGTTCCTACTTGCCATGTTCGAGACTTCTCTACTTTTAGCGTTCGTCCCTCAAAAAGACACTGTCCCTCTTCTCGGTGCGCCCTTGCTACCAACGTGGTGGGTAAAGATCTCGACATATTTGCTGACGGAGCGGTTTCTCTGAATCATATTTTACAAGCATGTACCGAACCTTTTACGGTGTTACTTGATTAGTGTTTTAATTCACTACAAATGTGTGTACCTCGGCTAACTTTAATTTTTCTTATGTAATTGGTTTTAATTTATTGACTTGTTATTAATCTTATTAATTTTATGCTATCACTCACAGGTGTCTTATCTTAGTATTTAGTTACTAACAGTATTAGCAACATTAGTAATATTTCATAAATGTATGTATATAGTTCAGTCTTCTTTAGATTTATGTTCACAGATTTATTTGTCATACTTGTATTTTGTTTTAATTATTTTCTGTATATACTCGTGCTAACTTTGTAATTGGCCACTGTGCTGTTGAGTTATTGCACGTAAATAAACATGAATTGAATTGAATTGAATTGAATTATGGGGGCTATGAAATTTTACCTGTTAGTACAGCACTAGTAATGTACTCGGTAAGACCACTTGACGATGGGGCTGAGAGAGAGAGAGCGACAGAGCAAAGAGTAACGACTAATTAATTTAAATATTCTTCTGCCATTCATGCCAATATCCTCAACGCCTTCCTACTGTTTTCGATTATCTCCCTGTAAAGCATCATTGGACATTACGCTGTACCATATAATTGGGATCTGCTAGCCCTATGGGACTCACATTACGATCAGAGAAAATAGTGAGACAGTAAGGCTATATCACTCCATCATATTTCTCCAAGATCCATTTTTGATATTATCCTCCCAACTGCGAAGCCCCCCTACAAATTTAGAAACATTACATAGTTCTATAAATATCGGGACAGAATACGAAATAGGTTTCTTGCTTGAATCTTTTGTTTTAACGAAGGGAA